CAGATAAATGCACGGGGAGAACCAAACAACCTGGAACTGTAGGTTCACAGCAGGCAGATGCTGAAATACGCCGAGGACACAGAAAGCGGCGCAGGTTGCCGACATGTTCATGGCAATATTGAACCACGCTGTCAATAGACCGCGTATCTCCGCTGGTGCAATCTCGACAATCGACATTGGCCCAATCACAGTAAGGGCACCCATACCCAGGCCAGAGATGATTCGTGCAACGTAAAGGCTGGCTAAGTTGGGCGAGAAAGTTGCAATAATTTGACCCAGTATCCAAATACAAATGTAGATGCGATAGCTCCATAGACGGCCGAGGGAGTCGTTGAGAAAGAATGAGAGCGCGGCACCAACACCGGCACCAACATAGACGATCGATACGAAGTTTCGGATCTGAAGGGCATTTGTTCCAGAATCAAGACCGAAATGCTTCTGGAACCCCGGAAGTGACGGTAACACGCCGGATGACGCCTGGTCCCAGGCTGTCAATGTTGATTAGATACTTTCCCGGTGATTGAGAACATGATATGTAGCTGTCCTTACTGAGGGGCATAGCAGACATTGCATAGAGCAAAGTCGAGAGAATTAGACTACGGTTGAAGATAGTCTCGCGGGGCGCATCTTTGATTGCTTTGTGATGCTTGGCGAAGGGCGAGTTGGCGAAAATGTCCTTGAGGCCCATCTTGCTCTTCAGCATAAATCAAGATCTCAAGTATTCAGGGCTTTGTTGTAACTGCTTTGTACTCTGTCTCCAGCCTCTGATAATAAGTCATGCGATATCCAAATCAGGCTCTTACAGAGAACTAAACCCGTTTTTAAGTTGAGGTTTACCAGCGTTTCTTTAAGTTTCATTACGTGATGAACAGCTCCTTCAGTGCCATATTATGTGAAGCTCCGGAAGAATACGAAGAACGTAAAATATTGACTCGTAATCTATGAACAATTCAGGTGAATCCGTTCTTATCATAGAATATGATATTGGGATCAAGGCGCTACGGCGAAGGTCATGTAGACCATTCGGACAGCAAGGAGAATTTGTAAATCATCGTTGATCATTGTAAACTTCGGAGGAGATGCCTTATCTCTGCCTACCCTAGTCAAGAGCTGCTGCAGACGACTAAACAAGTTATGGCAAAGCCTCCAAAGGTGATAGCCAGGCGAAGTGGGGACTCACCGGGACAATACGAAGACTTGAGGTGATTGGCCAAGATACTTGTTCCCATGTTACTCAACTCGCCGCCACGACAGACTCGCCCACTGAAATCTCCAGGTGCAGGAAGCGAGACAAGCCGAGAAGAGAAGCCGGTGAGATGTCTACTATGCTTGAAAAGAAGTGAATTCGCCCATTAATATTTTTTCCTTTGTAGAACGAAATCGAGTTAACGATTCAGCAACTGTGATACAATCGTTCACTAAGTCAAATCTTCTCCAAAATGAATTCAAAACAGCCTGTCAATAGAGAAAACTTCTCATCTCCGTTGTACTCTGAAGCAATTATCCACGGCGGCCTCATTTATTGTAGTGGAAAGGTTGGCCTGGATCCAAAGACTGGCAACTTGATGACAGGTGGTGTGGCTGAAGAAACAGTATGTTGTCATAGAGTTTCATATCACTCTTTTATTGAAACTCGGAGTCAACAGACAGCAGCTCTAGCATTGCTAGATTCGGTACTCAAAGCCGCCGGGAGTGACCTCACAAGACTGCTCAAGGTGAGCTCTTTTGGGAGTAGCACATCAGCAAAGCTGATCTCAAAAGTGTAACATAGCGATCACCGACATGAAAGACCTTGCGGAAATGAATGCTGCCTGTCTGTCTATTCAATGTCTGTCCCCCACAGTCAACTAACGACAAGCAGACATCGCCACTGTACCAGACCCGAAGCCAGCTAGAGTATGCGTGTGCGTCAAGGAGCTAGGAAAAGGTGCACATGTAAGCAAAGCCTCACGCTCGATTTTGAGTTGCCATACTCTAACTGAGTCAAGGTTGAGATTGACTGCATCGCGGCTTTAAATGATATGGTGTGAGCATTCTTGTACTCAACATACATGTTGTCGACAGATGATTGACTTGTTTAGCGTTCCAGCTAAAGCACACCCAAAATTATAACTACGTAACAAAATAAATTAAGAATTTGCAATGTAGACTTCAGCTTGTCTGATGGGACTGGCCATTTTCAAACAGACGCTTAGACTTATAATACAAAAGCTGCTGCTATGACCCATCAACAAGATTCAATAGTAGGGATAAACAAAAGCAAACTAAGAAATTGTACTCATGTCTGATATCAGAATTCAAATTTGCTCATCCTCAGACTTCGGCCGAACTGCCCCCTATCGATCTCGCAATGCCACGCAGAGAGATGTAGACTACGGTAGAGCGGCGATGCCAACATTGGTATTGGTGGGGTTTAGCAGATACCATCATTTCGCACTAGTCGGAAGGATACGAAGAGCCAATAGCCTGTTGTTATCTTACAAAGCTCTCTAGTACTAAACTTGGAGCTGGTTTTCTGCCACATAGGTCGTTGTAACTGCCGAAAAAGAAATTATGGGTTCACATGCATCATACTGTTTCGGTGGTGGTAGCCTTGCCATTTGTCATTGAGTCTAATCGGCACGACCCGAGTGTCGAAAAATGGTGGACTACGAGTTGCTCTTTCTTTAAAGGGAAAACGCGTCTTTGCTGATTTGCTTGAGTTAGATGAGTGCAATATAGCGATTACGATCAACTTCTCGTGCTTGTCACAGCGGAGTCACTCTATTAGTCGTATTTCAGTGTCTCAGTCAGGATCGTATCTCATGTCGTCCCATCTTAACAGCAGAGCATCACCAATTGTGATTGTTGGTGCGGGTGTGTTTGGCTTAAGTACAGCCATTCACCTAGCTCAGCGTGGCTACAAGGATGTCAAAGTGTTAGATAAACAACCCTATCATGAGAGTTTATATTCCTACGACCGGGGTTGTGATGCTGCTTCGGCAGGTTAGTATTCTAATTTTCATTTCACAGATCATCGGGACTAACAAGGTTTAGATATTAACAAAATCATTCGGGCTGCCTATGGCTCGGACATCGAATATCAGAAGCTAGCGCTTGACGCAATAAGTCAATGGAAGAAATGGAATGACGAGATACGAAATGGGAAAACACTTCCTCCAGGGTTCACGCGGGATGATGTGGTATACGTGAACAACGGAAACCTGTCCATGAGCTCGGAACCTTCTCTTCCTAAGTTTGAGACAAACAGTCTCCAAAATATGACGAAGCTTGGCTATGCAAGGACACAAATAGTGCTTAATAATCCAAGTGATGTTGAGCGGGCCACAGCAGACGGATTCGGCTTCGCAGTGAATCCTTTCGACCGAAAAGAGAACTATGGACTTCTTGATACCGTAGGTGGCTTTTCGTACGCTGACAAGGCTTGCCGTTTTGCATTGTACAAGGCAGAGCAACTAGGTGTCCAGACGCTACTTGGTGGTTCAAAGGGCACGTTCTCGAGCTTGCTTCGCAACTCGCATAGCCAAGTCGTTGGCGTTCAGACTCGAGACGGTGTAGCTCATCCTGCTGAATTGACAATCATAGCCTGTGGAGGGTGGACTCCGTCTCTGATCCCACAGCTTGATAACCTCTGTGAGACCACAGCTGGAAGTGTGTCTATTTTCCAACTACCACCAGGGTCAGCTTTGTGGGATCGCTTAGCACCAGAGAGGTTTCCAACATGGACGTATGTCGCTCTCAGAGAGCCAACGAGCTACATATCGATAGATATGGGTATGCTAATTTATTTCTTAGGTATAAAATACGGGATGGAGAGGATGGCGGTCTTTACGGATTCGCGCGTGATTCTCGTGGCTCCGTAAAGATTGGTTATCGTGGAACAAAATACACGAACCCTCAGACTCAGCCAGACGGAGCTGCACGAAGCGTTCCGATAACCCGCTGGACTGATCAATCAACGCGACAACTACCTGCAACTGCGGCGCGCAGGATTCGAGACTTCGTTCAAGAGTTCATCCCAGAGCTGATCCCCTGTCAGGTCAAAACCCGCCTGTGCTGGTACACTGATTCTTTTGACAATCACTTTGTCGTTGATTTCGTGCCAGGAGTAGAGGGATTTATGGTTGCTACAGGTGGCAGTGGGCACGGGTTCAAATTCTTGCCAAACCTCGGAGGTGCAGTAGTTGACCGGATTGAAGGCAGATCGAACAAGATGCTCGATCTCTGGAAGTGGAGGAGTTTAGACGCTGGTGCAAACCCTTACAACCGTATAATGGAAGGTGTCGACAGTGCAAGATCACTGCAACGACAGGTACTTACCGTAGAAGACAGTCTTAATTCGCAGCGCAGCCACCTTTGAGAGGGCTGATGTGTCATCCAAAGCCTACAAAGGCATGCTAGTGGCAGTCTCTTACCAACCCTCTCACTTCACAACCTTCAAGTACCTATGTAGTCTTCCCACTTGTCGTGTACATTCATTTGACTAGCAAGCCAAAGCTTTGTGTGTTGTCCTCGCATTGCAATGACCGAGGTATCTAAAGTCTCACTTTATGATCAAGCCAGGTCATTTATTCAGAGGACGCACAAGGGTAGTAAATTATACTGATCCGAAAACGAGCTGCTTCTACCTACTTACCACAATTCGGTATCATGGATGCCTTGTATGTGGGGTAGGAGCAATGGCAGCGGGGAAGTTTAATGGGCTACTTAATACCTGCAGGACCTAGACGCGACAGACGCGTCTTCTGCCCACCTCATCTCAATCGGGGACCAAGACACCTGAGACCACAAGGCTGAAATCCAGCCTCTTCTCTAGGTCCATCGCATCTTTCGCATCTACTTTCATCGGATCGGCGTAAACGGGTTCGCGGCGCACTTTGCTTCTTCGTTTTCTCTGGGATTTTCTTTAGCATTCGCCTCTTTACTTCCTTGAGCGGTGGTCTCAGACCGCCGATGCCTCCAACTCAAGACTTGATCTGTTCGAAATGAGGTGATGGAACATGGCCGACACCGTAACAATCAAGGCTATCGAGGCGGGAACCGTAAGTTGATATTGTATTCTTGCCCATCACGCTATCTTTGTGGCACTGACTCCTGGTCCTATCTCAGGTCCATCAGATTCAGTCCGGCCAGGTTATCGTCGACTTGTGCTCTGTGGCAAAGGAGTTGGTCGAGAATAGCATCGACGCTGGCGCCACAAGTATTGGTATGTACCCGGATAGTTTCTTAGGCATGTCTCAGAGGTTGCCATGCTAAAACGTAAGACAGAGATCCGTTTTAAGAACCAGGGGCTCGATTCAATTGAAGTACAAGACAATGGCGGTGGTATCGCACCCCAGAATTATGAATCACTAGCCCTGAAGCATTATACTTCAAAATTGTCAACTTACTCAGACTTGGACACATTGCAGACCTTTGGCTTCCGTGGGGAGGCGCTCTCGTCGCTTTGTGCTCTTTCCCGCTTCTCTGTCGTTACCTGTCTACAGTCCGATGTTCCCAAAGGCACGCGGCTTGAGTTCGAAACATCTGGGAAACTGAAGGGGACTAGCGTCATTGCAGCGCAAAAGGGAACCACCGTCTTTGTCGAGAATCTGTTCCACAACCTCCCGGTCCGTCGTCGGGAGCTGGAACGCAATATCAAGCGGGAATGGAACAAAGTCATGAGTCTTCTGAATCAATACGCCTGCATCCAAACAGGAGTGAAATTCACCGTCTCTCAACAGCCGAACAAAGGCAAGCGTATTGTACTGTTTTCTACCAAAGGCAATCCGACCACAAGGGAGAACATTGTTAACGTCTTCGGGGCCAAAACGGTGGGGGCTCTAATTACTCTTGACCTCAAGCTTGAGCTCGAACCTACTACTGGCCAGAAATGGAGTGTGCAAGTCGATGATAGCACGAAAGAGATTCTGGTCCGTGGATTTGTTTCTCGTCCTGCCCATGGGGAGGGCAGGCAGACTCCTGATAGGCAAATGTTCTTCGTAAACGGGCGACCTTGTGGATTACCACAATTTGCGAAAGTCTTCAACGAAGTATACAGATCATACAACTCTTCGCAATCGCCGTTCATATTCGCTGATATACAGCTGGACACCCATCTGTATGATGTCAACGTCAGCCCGGACAAGCGCACAATCTTGCTCCATGAACAAAATCGAATGCTTGATAACTTAAGGGACTCACTAACCGAACTCTTTGAGGCGCAGGATTATACGGTACCAACAGCCCAACTCTTCTCAGCCAAACAAACGCCGTACAAGAGGCTATCATTGAATCGCGAGGGCACAACAGCTTCTGGAAGCTCGCGAGATAGTCCTGTTGGTATCATTAGAAAAGGAAGCTCCGGAGTTGCCACTGAGGAGGACCATTCTGATCTAGACCCTTCCGAAGACGAAGATGAACCAGCCACCCGATCCAAGAAGGCTCAAGCTACACGACGATCAGTTTCCGCGAAGTCGCTGTCTAAGGACACAGGTGCCGTGAGTTTGATTAGTCGATGGGTGGAGAGAAAATCTGCCACTCGTGAAGTGTCAGCGACAAGAGTTGTGAGAGAAGCAGTACGGAGTGCTGAACCAGATCATTCTGAGGAGTTGCAAGGAAATGAATCCGGCCCGGACGCTGTAGGAGGCACTCCTGATATTGAAGAAGATGAAAGTGAGGAAGAGGAAGAGGCTGAAGAGGAACAGCAGCCCAACGACCTCGAAGCACCAAAAGGGAAGGATCAACGATATAAAGATTTTCACTCTCGATTGGCAGAACTAGCAAATACGCAGGAATCTGAGGTCCAGGGACCTCGTAACCGTGATTCTCCAATTCCTGCAATTGCATCACCCACAAAGCCACCAGAGCCTAGAATCCTGAGCTCTCCAGCCATTCGACCACATAAGCGGCCTGTTCAGGATGTTGCAACAATAACAATAGGTGATCATACCGTGGTTAGCACACTTGGATCACCGTTGAAGAAGCGAGCAAGGATCGTTGCGTCTTCAAGTCCAAATGCTTCACAGTCACAAACACCTCGAAAAGATACCGCGCCGCTACCCTCTTTTGGAGGTCGACTCACGCAGATGTTTGCGGCTTCCTCTACGCAGCTGGAACCTGATGATCAATCGGAAAACGCCGAGCAAACGAATGAACAGGACAATGAAGACAGTAATATTTCAATGCCCGATGCAGAGGAATCCGAGAATATGTTCTTATCAGAGCCAAACGACACTAGCTCAGATGTGGAGGATAAGGAAATGGGGTTCTCCCCTGAGCAAGACGAAAATCTACGAGATGATGAACAAGAAAATGACGAGGAAGAGGAAGAGGAAGAAAGCGAGCCGAGCAACTCTCCTCAGTCGAAACTGTCTGATGATGGAGATGACGCATATCTGAGTGAGGAGGAAAACGATGAGAAAACCACTCTGGTTTTGGAGACAACTGAAGTCGTAGAGGAAGGGGGCGTGACACCTAACGAGGATATCCACAAACGCAGTCAGCAGTTCTTGAAGGGCACTGGCAAGAGGAAAGACACTACAGTACAACTGATGCAGCGGCTGAAGGTCAATGAAGAATCACTGCGCGAACAGGTCTACACCTGGGAAGCCCAGAGTGTTTCCACCAGTTCTGGAGGTAAAAGTTCTGACGATAGCGGCGGTGGCCTAGAAGCCGAGGACGCTGAGGAAAAGCTGTCTCTCAGCATAGCCAAGGCTGACTTCGGCAAAATGAAGATTGTGGGACAATTCAACCTGGGCTTCGTTCTTGCTGTTCGCGCTAGGAATTCGGACGGCTCTACATCAGACAGCCAGGCTAGAGACGATGATTTGTTCATCATCGATCAACACGCATCGGATGAAAAGTACAACTTCGAGAGGCTGCAGGCTAGCACGGTTGTGCAATCTCAGCGTCTTGTTAAGCCAAAGACACTAGAGCTCACTGCCGTCGAAGAAGAGATATTGATCGAAAACCAGCCGGCTCTAGAGGCAAATGGTTTTGTCGTTAGTGTCGATGAGTCCGGAGATGAACCCGTTGGGTCCCGGTGCCAGCTTCTCAGTCTACCCTTGAGCCGAGAAACGACATTTTCTCTCGCTGATCTTGAGGAGCTCATCTCCTTACTAGGCGAGCATACCTCCTCGAATGTTAGTAACATTCCGCGGCCTTCAAGAGTCCGGAAAATGTTCGCAATGCGCGCCTGCAGGAGTAGTATCATGATCGGCAAGGCGTTATCGCAAAAGCAAATGGAACGCGTCGTAAGGCACATGGGCGAAATGGAGAAGCCCTGGAATTGTCCTCATGGCAGACCGACTATGCGCCACCTTTGTGGCTTGTCAACGTGGGATGAAAGAGGTTGGATGGAGGGTGATGATTTTGAGGAACCCGATATCCCAACTGACTGGGCGGCTTATGTCAGTGAAAAGACCTTAGGCGCATGAGTTGCAACTTGTCTAGATGAGTGTCATCACTACGTTCGAACATATTACCAGGAAGCGGATATACCCAATGTTGAGGCAGCAATAGTTAGCGATCCCAAAAAAATCCATATTTCAATACCTTGCCCCTATTTCTCCACTATCCTTTGCTGTAATTATTCATACATAACTCCTGAGAAAGCAGCCCATGCATCATGTCAACCATTCACATCCACATCCATCTATACCATCATTTGCCGGTCAGTACCCGCAACTTCTTGAGAACGGGTCCCTAGTCGTCGTTCAAGACGCTATAACGTGAATAGCGACCATTTCCACCAGCCAATCCTTCCTCGGCAATCTTGCCACTCACATTCCGCCTGCCGAATGTTGCATACCTGTTGCTCATGTCGTAGTCGTTGCCCGAGGACACCTGCCTGTTGGCACCGATGATGATGGGCGGCGTCGCCGCCTTCAACTCGCCATATGGCTTCGCGAAGAACGCATCTTCCGGCTGGATCGAGCTGTTACGGACCCGCGGCGCTGGCGCAGGCGCCCAAGTGTTCCGCTTCGCCTTTGACGGGCTTGCAGTTAGGGTGCGCCCGGGCATCTCATCCGCAATATCCTTGCTGCCGCTGACCCGACGGTCATTTAGACTGACCTCGGACAGCGCAACAGCACTGTAGTGAGGCGTCTTGGGGCGCGCGGACACGGCAGAGAGCGGAGTCGGGTTCGAGCGCAGAGGGTTCGGGTGCTGCTTCGTCGAGGAGCCCAGGTCGCCGCTGTTCTCGTCATTCTCGGCATCGTTGTCGGACTCGGTGTCAGACTCAGGCATGTCGTAGCTTTGGTTCAGCGCCTCGTAAGCGCGACGCTTGCTGGCGGCGTTCTGGGCATTCATAGCCCTGTTACGCTCTTGTGTCCGGTTGACGAGCGACTCGGATGCGTACCATGCCTCGCTGAACTTGGCGGCGCGCGGCTTCGGTGCTTGAGCATTGGAGATGGTCACTTGCGAAACGACCGTACCGGTGCTGGGACGAGAGGAGCCTGGGCGCGAATCTTGGTCGTACAGAGAGATCTCACTATAAGAGCCACGGTAAGAGCTTCGGTTTGCGGATGGTGGCGCTGACATGCGCTTGAGATCGGCCGAGGTGGCTGAGTTTCGGGGGGAGTTGCCTGGAGTGATCTGATAATGGCGGCTGGGGAGCTCTACGCGCGAGTCCCTCGTGCCAATGGAGTCCCGAGAGCCAGTGCGAGTCGCCATAAATGGAACAGATGGAGGCCGCGAGATGTCCTCATAAGGCACTCCGGATCGGCGATAGTTCTCAAGAGGTGTGGATAGGCGCCGATCGCTCTCATTGGTAAGGGTGGTCGCTACCGACGACTTATTCTTTTTGTGTCTTCGAGATGTTAGGTGGTCTTCCAGCGGATTCATGTCGGGCGGCATGAGGGTAATTTGGCGGAACTTCAAGCACAGCCATAGCGAGATAGCCAGTGACAGTAAATGCAACCCCCCAGCACTGATGAGCGTGTAATACAAGGCTGGGATGAAGACATTCATCACGTTCTGGTTTGACAGCAGCGTGCCCCATTCGTCTCCAGAGTTCCGGACAGAAAGTGTTCCATAAGTGTACAACGGTAGGACACACAGATCAGATATCCCGGAGAACAATTGATAAGCTGCAGATGAAGCAGGTGTTCTCGCACGAGCAGGTCTTGAAAGATGGTAAATACCGTAAACGCAGTGAATCATCACCACACCGGCCTAGTTCGAAATCAGCAAATAGACTTGTCACAGATGATATTTATATTCAACTGTACCGTGATTCGCATCACCCAAGCTGTCAGTTGTGTCATGTGGTTCATAAGGATCATGAGGACCAGGATGCCGATGGCACCGTTCAATTCAAGTATGCGCAGAAGGAGCTGTACAGTTCTCATGTATTTGATCCATTTCTTCGTCCTTGATCCCATAGACCGTAGATTGGTCCGCTGCCTTGGAGCTTCATGTGCACTGGAGCGGGAATGTTAGTCTTCGTTCCTGAACCGCATTGTAGCAAGAATTAATTGTATTTCTAGAAAAAGACGTACTCGGGATGGCGGTTGAACGAGATGAGCGGCCCATCTTGCTTGGGTTTCTGAGGTTTCGGCTCCCAGCTGGCTCGAGTGACGGCCTTTGGATCGAATGTGCTTGTAGGAAAGCGTTGGTCGCTGAACTTCTCTGCCTCGTAGAGGTAAGGCTGATGAGCGCCCATCGTTGCGATCGGCTCTCAATGGATGGCAGCTGTTCGTTGGTGGAGGCCTATATCGACTGGAATGCTGGGTCTTACTAGCAGTCATTCCATCGCGGAATGGGTGGTATGGTACCCCTCTGTAGGTCGTAGGAGTCTGGAGTGCGACTGGCAGGTTGGCACAGCAACGGCCTGACAGCTCTGGAGCTTGGGCCATCACCAGTTATTTTTAGAGCCATTCTCAGGTGTCGCGGCAATTGAGACTGTTCACCTCATCCAATAACCTTTGATAATCATAGACAAGAAAGAAAAGGCACTTGTTGTGACAATAAACCTTGTGATGCACTCGTCGTAAATGCAATGCTCAACTGAATGATTTAATTTCCATGAAGACAATCCATGATTATCGTGGCACGTCCGACGTCATCGGCCGAAGTGCCGAGCCGAGACCTGAGAAAATCGCATTCGCGCCGCGAGCTCGGAGGTCGAACAACCTTTAAAAAGACGCCGATTTCAACACAGTCATCGCGCATTTGCTGTGAAGACAGCCATGAATGTGGGAACCGGGACGTCAAGAGTCTGCGCAAGTTGCCGCAGGCTTTTACAACAGAGCGCTCCATATCGCCCTGGCAGAAGCCAGAGGTACTCGACAACCGTAATCCAACATGACCGCCCCTTTAGGATGGCCGTGATTGGCTCGGGTCCGGCTGGATTCTACACGGCTTATCGGGTCATGAGCAAGATTAATGGCGCGAAGGTTGATATGTACGAACAGCTTCCAGTCCCTTTCGGACTTGTGCGTTTTGGTGTCGCACCAGATCACCCAGAAGTGAAGGTGCGTATCCTGTAGGACGATTCTAAATGTGGCCGAGTCTCATGATAGCACTAGAATTGTCAGGAGAAGTTTGAGGAAGTTGCAGCCTCACCAGACTTCAGATTCATTGGCAACATCACAGTCGGGCATCCTAGTGGTCACCCGGATGGTGCTTCTGTAGAGCTGTCATCCATCCTACGGCACTACGATGCCGTCTTGTTTGCCTATGGCGCTGCGAAGGACCGTTTGCTTGGCGTTCCAGGAGAGACTACACTGAAAGGCATCTATTCTGCGCGCGAGTTTGTGGGATGGTATAATGGGCTTCCTGAGCACTCAAATCTCGATCCAGATTTAACTCAGGGGGAAGAAGCTGTCATCATTGGGCAGGGTAACGTTGCCTTGGACGTGGCAAGAATGCTCCTGGAAAATGTAGACGTCTTGAGAAAGTCAGATATAACTGAACATGCACTGGATGTCTTGTCAAGAAGTCGCATCAAGAGAGTGCATATTGTTGGTCGACGAGGACCGGTGCAGGTGTGTATTCAACGAAAAGGCAATTCGCGCAATGCTGATAATAAGCTAGGCATCCTTCACCATCAAGGAAATCAGAGAACTCATTAAACTGCCTGGGGTCGCGGCTCACCCTGTCGACTCAGCACTGATTCCTCAAGATCTGAAGAAGCTTCCCCGAGCTCCTCGTCGGCTCATGGAGTTGCTTCTCAAAGGGTCACCAACTCCACTTGGACAGAGTTCGAAAAGTTGGTCTCTTGACTTCTGTTTGTCTCCAACCGAGTTTATTGGCAGAGATGATGACACTTCGCAAGTCGGCATGACAAAGTTCGAACAGACATCTCTTCACGACCCTTTCGACCCAATGTCTAAGGTGTCGGGCACCGGAATAACCGCAAATTTCTCATCTTCGATCGTCTTCCGGTCGATAGGTTATAAATCAGTAGCGTTGCCTGAGTTCCCTACCTTAGGCATACCTTTCGACTCAAGGCGGGGTATCATACAGAACGATGGACTTGGCCGTGTTGTGAGGGAAGTCAAGACCGTCGATGCTGCGATTGAGCAAGCTCCGTACCCAGGGTTGTATTGTGCTGGATGGGTCAAGCGTGGCCCGACGGGAGTTATCGCCTCGACAATGGAAGACGCTTTCACCACAGGCGATGCAGTTGCCCATGATTGGAATGCGGGTGCTCCCTTTCTGACTGAAACGAAGACTCCAAGGGCAGGATGGGACGGCGTTCTCAGCGACAATGGGAACTCCAGTGCTAAGATTGTAGAATGGAGCGATTGGCAGAAGATCGACCGGGCAGAGAGAAGTAGAGGTAGAAGCAAGGGGAAGGAACGAGAGAAGTTTGTCCATACGCACGACATGCTAGCCGTGCTCTAACATCGTTGTAATGTTATGTTATCCAATGTAAAGTTTACTGTATATTACAAGCAGGACAGCCTATGAACTCTTGAGCTTCTCTGTGAGCTCAGGGACTTTCTCGAACAGATCTCCCACCAGTCCCACATCAGCGACCTGGAATATTGGTGCATCTGCATCCTTGTTGATTGCTGCAATCACCTTGCTGTCCTTCATACCTGCCAAGTGCTGGATCGCTCCGGAAATACCGACCGCCAAGTATAGCTGAGGAGCCACAACCTTTCCAGTTTGGCCAACTTGTAGACTGTTATCCGCATAGCCGCTGTCAACAGCAGCTCTTGATGCACCAACAGCAGCGCCTAGGGCATCTGCTAGGGGTAGCATTATCTTGTCGAACTCCTCCTTTGACTTCAGACCTCGGCCTCCGGAGACAACCTTGCTGGCCGTTGCCAGGTCAGGCCGGTCTGATTTAGCAAGATCTTCTGACACCCATTCGGTTGAGCTCTCGGCCTTGGGGTCAACACCGTCCTCGACTGAGGCTGAGCCGCTGCCGAGCTCTGCTGCCGGGAAGGCAGTACCACGAATAGTGATAATCTTGATGCTGTCGGAAGATTCCACAGTTGCTATGGCGTTTCCGGCATAGATTGGGCGAACAAAGGTGTTCTCGTTCTCGACTGCAGTGATGTCTGAGATCTGCTGCGAATCAAGCAGCGCCGCAACACGGGGTAGAAGGTTCTTTCCAAATGCTGTGTGTCCTGCAATGACGTGTGTGTAGCCGCCCTTCTTGATGTTCTCGACCAGCAACGGAGCGAAGTTCTCTGGAAGGCCCTGATATATGCGTTAATTCCTGGCTGGCATCATGCATAAATTCAAAACATACCTTGTCATAAGCTCCATTCTCTACAACCACAATCTTCTCGACACCGTCTGCCTTCGCTGCCTCTTCAGCCACAGGCTTGACATTGCTACCAGCAACAAAAGCGTGAATAGAGCCACCAAGCTTCTTGGCTGCTGCGATTGCGCTGAGTGAGCCAACGTTCAGCTGTCCCTCCCTGTGTTCTAGGATTGCCAGTGTTGAAGCCAATCGACGAAGGGCCGCGGGGCTGATTGAGGGCGTTTTGGAGGCCAGCGGGGCCAATCTGTGAACGGAATGCCGCAGAGCTGCTCTCGGAACGGTGAGCAACATCGTGTCGAATTGGATTGGCCCTCCTGCTGATGTGAGGCCTCGTGTGTTGTCGTCGACAACGAAGTAGCTGTGTTGCTCAACTGCTAGGACTCAAGAAACCGGTTGGCGCCGGCCCGAGGTCTGAAGTGTACTCTCCAGTAAGCTCGCTGCCCCGAAAGTCGGGGCGCACAGACCATGTCCTGAACAGGGGTGCCACATTACTGCCTGAGGCACTCTAATGCTAGCGGCCACGTGACTAGCTCCGTCCGTTGGCCAGTGCCTCACTCCGTCCAGATCGCGTTCGGTTTTTCCTACGCGATCCATCCACGAATGTCAAAAGTCATCAGAACGAGCACCTTGCGCCAGCGATAGTTCACCCTTACAATACCCCACGCATGGTCGCGATATATCTATAGCACACAACAAGAAGTTGCGCCCAGCTCTTGTGGCCGATAGTGATCGAAGCTCAATCTTTATCTGACACTGAATTCCCCCCCTAGCTCCCAACCCAGCCTCATCACCATGGAGGAGGAGCACGTCAGCTATGGCACGCCGACCAACGGCGCATCGCCGGGGAGCAATCCTATCCTGGCGCAGCCACCTCTCGGAGATCCTAGTGTTGCTGATGCTTCTGAAGGTATTGTTCCATGCTGTCAATTGAGCTCTTGCGACACCTGGACGCGAACTAACCACTCTCGATGCAGATGTCCAAATGAGCGAAGGTCCATCAAACGAACCTGCAATCAAGCAGGACAGCACCACTCCTGCTCCGGTCGCTGCGTCCGATAATCCCTTGGATGCTCCTGATGGCCCGCCGGCTGAGACAGCCGCAACTGGAGAAGATGCAGAGATGGGCGATGCCCAGAATGACACCAAAGATGCTGAGGTCAAGGATGGCGAGACTGCCGCTGAGGCTGATCCGGCGAAGACAAAAGAGGCAATTGAGAATGCTGCACGCGAGCATCTTATTTCACAGACTCATTCTATCGTCCTTCCAAGCTATAGCACCTGGTTCGACATGAGCACTATCCACAGTATCGAGCGCAAGGCTCTTCCCGAGTTCTTCAACAGCCGAAACCGAAGCAAGACACCGGCAGTCTACAAGGATTACCGTGACTTCATGATCAATACGTATCGACTTAATCCTGTAGAATATCTGACCGTTACGGCCTGCAGACGTAACTTGGCGGGTGATGTGTGTGCCATCATGAGGGTGCACTCATTCCTCGAGCAGTGGGGCTTGATCAACTATCAGGTATATCTTTCGCTTTCATATCCATGTATGATGCTAAATCGTCAACAGGTCGACGCCGAGCAGCGACCATCACATGTTGGTCCACCTTTCACAGGTCACTTTAAGATTATCTGCGATACACCCAGAGGCTTGCAACCGTGGCAGCCGGCCGCAGATCCGATTATCACAGAGGGCAAAGCGCACGCAGATACAGAGGCAAAGGCAAAGGCTACTCCGGCCGCGAAGAGCGAGCTGAACCTCGAAGTTGGGCGTAATATCTATGAGGCTAATGCGAAGGGCACGAAGCTCAACAAGACGGAGACAAAGACTAATGGTGAGACTCCAACCACTAATGGAGTTGCCGGCGCCTCTACCCCAGATGAGCTTCCCAAGGCGCCAATTGCTAAAGTCAACTGCAACTTTTGTGGATGCGACTGCACTCGGGTGTACTACCACAGGCCGCAGGGAGATGCAAGTGCCAAGACGCCGACTGACTTGTGCCCGACATGCATGGTTGGTGCGCGTTTCCCTCAGAACCAGACCGACAGCCAGTTTGTTCGAATGGAGAACCCGACATATTCCAGCGTGCTTGACCGGGATGCTCCATGGACAGATGCTGAGCTACTGCGTTTGCTCGAAGGGTTGGAGAAATTTGATGAGGACTGGGGCGAGATTGCCGATCACGTTGGCACGCGTACTCGCGAGGAGTGTGTCCTCCAATTCTTGCAACTCGATATCGAGGACAAATATCTCGAGTCTGAGGGACCTTTCAATGCACCTGTCGGTATCGACATGCTTGGCCCTCAGGGTGGGCAGCTGCCCTTCAGCCAGGGTGACAACCCTGTTATGTCTGTGGTGAGCTTCCTGGCTAGTCTTGCCGATCCAGCCAGCGCTGCCACAGCTGCCGGAAAGTCTGCAGAGGAGCTTAAGCAGAACCTGCGGAAGAAGATTGAGGGACCGGTGCCGGAGGAAGCGAAGACGAATGGTAAGGGCAAAGAGAAGGACAGCGGAGAGTCGATGGAGCTTGATATCAGGCAAGAAACTACTACCACCACAACTACGACAACCACAACCAAGACGTCTACGACTGCGCTGGCCAACATTCCTCTGGCCGCCATGGGTGCGCGTGCTGGAGCTCTGGCTTCGCATGAGGAGCGCGAAATGACACGACTTGTATCGGCAGCAGTCAACCTCACTTTGCAGAAGATGGAGCTGAAGCTGAAGTACTTCAACGAGATGGAGGCTATCCTACAAGCCGAGCGACGGGAGTTGGAAAGAGGACGACAGCAGCTGTTCCTTGATCGCCTGGCTTTCAAGCGACGCGTAAGAGAAGTCCAGGAGGGCCTGAAAGCAGCTGCCCTTACTGGCGGCGACCAGGGGGTGAAGATGGCCCAAGACATAGTGATGGATGGCGACCGCCTTAGTTTTCAAGTCGCCCCAGCTTTAGGGACTGTTCAGCCTCTAAGCAGCGAGGGCCAGATCAAGAGCTACGAGGCATAGAGGTACTCGGCTCTAGGAAGTTTTCAGCCCCTGAGCAGCGCAGGCCATTTTGAGGGTTACGAGGCATAGAGGCACCAGGGCTCTTCAGAGTTCGTAATGGCAGGGCGGAACGTGGCTGGTTCTTTCGGCAGACTTTGATTATTCATGGTTGTGTTCTTTTTGCGTTTGCTTGATCCGGCGTCATGGTGGAGGGACTGCAAACACGGCACTCCGATAGGAGTGTGTATTCAAATCTGATGTATGGAAATCACTGTATCAGTACGAGAGCAAAGGAAACCCTTAGATAAGCAAATTTTGGTCCAATTAAATCCTGTGCGCATTTCATTGTCTCGTCAAAGTCCTGTAAGCCTAGATGACCTGAAGTCTGGCGATCGATGCATTCAGCCACGCGCCGTCCGGAGACACGGAAGGCTATCGGGGCGCCATCTCCAGGTCCCCGCAAACGCCAGAATCCCCGCAACATTCAAGGCTCGGCTGACGACGGCCGTGAAAAAACGTGGGGGATTTGCTGTCGGCATCGCGATCAGTATGTCGGAATGACTGGAGGCTTATGCCTCACTCAAATTGCCAAGCAACATTGCAATGTACGGAGTACCTGGGTGCTAAGAAGTTGATTGGGACAACACTGCGGCATACCAAGGCCACAAATAAGAGAATTTGTTGACTATGAGGCTGATACACTAAGGACCCGAGCCTGTGGAGGAGACAGGGCTTGCATGTGAACATCATTTCCCACCTGGGCAATGGAGCTCTGTTTGTACTCGCGGTAAGTCAATCACAAGATCCCTTCGTTTACCAGACTCAGGCGCAGACAAGTGAGAAACTGGGTATTTGTACTCTGTACAAGGCGTCTTATTAATACCTAAAAATGTGTTTTTTTCTGCAAGTCAGGCGGCCAAGAAAAGAGGCGCTCTTGAGATTGTGAAGGAGTGTGTGTCTGTATGAGTGAGAAACCGGCCATGTTCGGCCAGGAGGCTAAATGAGCGTGGGGATTTTACCTCGGCTGGAGGGGTCATTCGGGCGAAGGCGCTCCAAACGGCAGGGTGCTCATTGGAACAGCAGAGCCGGGCCTCCAAACTCGGCTGGCCCGCCGTCCCCATTCCAGTTCACCAGCGTCTGTTAAGGTAGAGCCTCTCTTGAGCTACCCTCACTACCCATTTGCTAGCCTACATATTACTCCGCGGTAGAACCCACCTTAACAGCTCTAGCAGCGCTCTCCTCGTACCTCCCTCGAGCCTCCCCACTGCAGGTCGTCTTTAGCCAAACGTCCCGAGGCTTGTGAAGAGTCTAGAGTGGAATTGCGCTTGCGCCGACCGAGTCGCCCCGGCAGTGAGACAGCCAGATCTACCTACGTAACCACCACCACCGCCGCCGGCCTCCTTAACTTGACTCCTATACTTCCGTCCCGAACCTCCCTCTCTCTTCACGAGCGAACCTTGCACCAGCACTCCATTCACAAGCCATTGGGAATGTTGGCCGCCATTGCAAGGTCTGAGGCCCGGTCTTCTGCACTCAGAAGTACTCCTAGACACTTCAAGACCCCTCTGGTACGCTGTCCAGCTCCCTCCAATTTCCCTCCTGTCTCTTTTACCCTACCAAAGTATTTCTGGACCGGCCGGACTGACAGACTTTGTGGTGCTAGATAGCAACTATGGCTCCGGCAAGCAAGAGGAGCAACAGCTCCCTGCCGAAAGGTACGTACGCCTTTGCTCGCAGTAGACACTTCACTGTCATGTGAAAAGCGACAAAGACCAAGATTAACATGGTTTCCACCGCAGGCTACGCCGAAGACAAGTCCAAGGGACCTATGCTTCGATTCCAAGAGTCGCTCCCTCGCCTCCCCGTGCCGACACTCGAGGAGACCGCCGCGCGGTACCTCAAGACGCTCAACCCTTTGCTCTCCCCTACGGAGCTAGCATCTAGCAAGAAGGCGGTTGAGGACTTCATCAAGCCCGGCGGTGTCGGTCGCAAGCTGCAGGACAAACTTATCGCAAAACGCGAGGACCCCAAGACCAAGAACTGGATATACGAGTGGTGGAACGACGCCGCATACCTGTCCTACCGCGACCCCGTGGTCCCTTACGTCTCCTACTTCTATTCACATCGCGATGACCGCAGGCGGCGTGACCCGGCCAAGCGTGCGGCCGCCATTACTACCTCGGCGCTCGAGTTCAAGAAGCAAGTTGACGAGGGCACACTAGAGCCCGAGTACATGAAGAAGCTGCCCATTTGCATGGACAGTTACAAGTGGATGTTCAACGCCAGCCGAGTCCCGGCGCGGCCCGCCGACTATCCCGTGAAGTACGACCCCAAGGCGCACAAGCACATTCTCGTCATCCGCAAAAACCAGTTCTTCAAGGTCGCCCACGAGGTCGACGGCCGCCAGCTCAACACCACCGAGCTGGAGGCGCAGTTCCGCCGCGTGTATGAGCTTGCGCAGCGTGCGCCCCCTGTCGGTGCCCTGACCACAGAGAACCGTGACGTCTGGACCGATGCCCGCGAGGTTCTCCTGAAGGCGCACCCCGGTAACAAGGCCGCTCTCGAGACCATTGAGTCCGCGTCCTTCGTCGTCTGTCTCGACGATGCCGCCCCGGTCACGCTCGAGGAGCGTGCGCACCAGTACTGGCATGGTGACGGTCAGAACCGGTGGTTTGACAAACCGCTGCAGTTCATCGTCAACGACAATGGCACCTCTGGCTTCATGGGCGAGCACAGCATGATGGACGGCACGCCGACGCACCGTCTGAACGACTACGTCAACGACGTCATCTTCAACAACAAGCTTGACTTCTCCGACCCCAGCGTGCGCTCTAATCTGCCCGAGCCCGTCGCGGTCAACTTCCACATTACTCCCGAGGTCCAGGCAGAGCTCGACCGCGCCGTCAAGGACTTCAACGACGTCATTGGGCAGCACGAGCTGGCCGTGCAGGCGTACCAGGGCTACGGCAAGGGCCTGATCAAGAAGTTCCGGTGCAGCCCGGACGCGTACACGCAAATGATCATCCAGCTGGCGTACTACAAGATGTACGGCAAGAACCGGCCGACGTACGAGTCGGCGGCGACGCGGCGCTTCCAGCTGGGGCGCACCGAGACGTGCCGGTCCGTGTCGGACGCCAGCGTGGCGTGGTGCAACGCCATGGCCGACCCGACGCTCGACGACCCGAAGCGCGTCGAGCTGTTCCGCGCCGCCATCGACAGCCACCTCGAGTACATCAGCGCCGCGTCCGACGGCAAGGGCGTCGACCGCCACCTGTTCGGCCTCAAGAAGCTGCTCGAGCCCGGCGAGGAGGTCCCCGCCCTCTACAAGGACCCGGCCTACGGCTACTCCAGCAGCTGGTTCCTCAGCACCAGCCAGCTGAGCTCCGAGTTCTTCAACGGCTACGGCTGGAGCCAGGTCATCGACGCCGGCTTCGGCATTGCGTACATGATCAACGAGAACAGGTAGGAACTTTTGTCACAGAAGTTCTTTGGCGGAGCATTGCTAACTTTTGTTCCTAGCATCAACTTCAACATCGTGTCCAAGGGCCTCGGCAGCAAGAAGATGAGCTACTACCTCAACGAGGCCGCCGGTGACATCCGCGAACTGATGCTGCCCACCCTCGAGGCTCCCAAGGCGAAGCTGTAAGGAGCCTTTGTCAAGGTATCAGAGGCGTACGATTAGGCTTTAGACGGATGGGCAGCAGAGAGCGACACAGGGGAGGAATATGGCCATTTTTCCTATTTTGCCAAATGCATATCATCATAGACTCGTCACAGCCGAGAGACAGCCTTTTCCTTGTATATTAGGGGATAAATGAAGCCTTGTCCATAGTGAAGCCCTTCGCTGGGGACAGAAGGAATTCAGCAGTTGAAAAGGAGGTTCAGGTGGGAGGCTGATTTTGAATAGAAGATGCATAAGAATTGAATTTCAGCTTCTTCGTTTAGAAAGCAACAAACAGAGCCTGTCTACAAAAGCTACGGCAGCATGAGACGCTCCTCGGGATGAAAAACTGATGCTACACTAAATGCCACAAGCTAACCAACCCTCCTGGGTCACCCTGTAATCCTACAGATCGGCCAACGGCCCAACGGTCATGCTCAACCGCAATGTGACACGATCTCGTTGACCAGGTCGCCAACCTTGGGGTCGTAGTAGGACGACATCTGGGAAGGCAGCGGCAGCTCCTTGTAGTCCTCGTCAGGCCCGGAGATGATGTTGAGGTTGATGCCCGCAGACTTGCTATGGATGATCTTCGTGCTCGCGCTCTCCTTGCTGAAGTAGATGGAAGCACCGTCGATCTGATCCATCATAACGGTCGGGATGACGCCCATTACCTGCAGCGCAAAGTTCTGCGACTTGACTGCGTCGACGGATGATACAAGGGAGTCGACGACGAGGCTTAGTCGATTGGTGTTCTCAATAGTAACCGCGTTCGCCTTGCCCTTGATGATGATGGTTGTGTTGTTGCACTTGCTAATGAGAATTGAGTGGGAAATTGAGGCCTCAATCTCAATAGGCTGTGATTCTTTCTCAAAGTTCTCCTGCAATAGTGCATTAGTGACGTTATTCTAGGAGGTCGATGACTGTCCAACTTACAATCGTCCACTTGTTGCCCTCCAGCTCCTTCTTGGGCGGCTTCTTAACCCGCATAGCCTCCGGCTTCGGCTTCTTCCCAGGAGCAGGGCTCTTTCCACGCGCAGATCCGTCGTGGCCAGACACTGTCGAACTAGCACGTAACGACGGGTTCTTGTGCGTCATCTCAGACTTGTCGACTTTACGCAGGCCCTTGGTGACGGCCTCACCCTTGTTCAGCTCCGAGAAAACGGCTCCGAGTCCGTTACTGCCATTCGTTGCGGGGGCCTTCTGCTCCTTAATCTGAAGGACCGGTGGTGGGCCAGGCGGAGGCGGCGGAGGGGGGGCACTGCCGGCAGCTCCAGGAGGTGGAGGAGCTGGTGCGCCGTTCACGCTTGCGGCAATCGACTTGGCCACTTCACCAGCAGGCTGTCCCTTGGGGTTCCAAGGAATACCGCTGGGGTAGTATTGCTTAACGTACTCAGTCAAGTCACGGAACATTTGATAGAAGGACTGAATCCATTCCACCTGTGCGGGGTCCCTGTACGACAAGTTAGAAATCCAATGTGACACTGAGTGTTCTCTTCAAACATACTTGTCCTTGTTCTCCTTGAGCACGCGGTTGCCCCAGTACTGAGCAGTACCCAAAGACTCCTCAACGTGCTTGTGTGGCCGGCCGTCAGCAGTCACCCAAGCTAGAACCATGATTCCGTCGGCTACTGCACTCAGCTGGCTGTACACGGGCGAGGAACGGCTGGAGTCCCTGAGGCTGCCGACAGCCATAAGCGCCTCGTTAATAGGCTTCAATAGGTCCTGGTAAACAGACATCTCGGAGCCGGTGGAAAGATCGGGTTTCTTCGCCTTTGTCGTGATGAGGAGGAATTTCCGTTGCTCCTTGAACCCTTGTACAACCTTCGCAGCCTACGAAACTGGTCAGCCTACAGCCTCAGCATTGAGCTTGCTACCATCGACGCACCTGCTCGGCGATCAATCCGCCCAATTGCTGGCTGAGCTTTGCATATTTCCCCAGGGAAGTCTCCATAAAAGCATCAAAGTCCTCGATCGATTCCGGCAGCGGCTCGGACGGCTGGGGGACCGGAGCTGCTGGCGCAGGAGCCGGCGGCGGTGGTGCAGGTGTCGAGACGCCAGATGCTGCGGAGGGGGGGGAAGCCATTGGCTGGGAGAGGGCGGGCACAGCTTGCGGTAGCTCGATCGTGGAAGAAGCTATGTCCTCGAGGCGAGCGGTGGCAGCCTCAAGCCTGGCAAAGAAATCAGTATAAGCCCGAGCATTGATGGCAGAAACCATGATTGAGGTCATCGTAAGTGCGGGCCATTCTGTTGCAGCCAGGGATGCCCTTCGAAGTGGAAGACATGACGCCAGCAAATACGGAGATACCGAGGTTTCCCCCCCGTAGAGGCATCAGATGAATCTTGCCGGATGCTCGACGTACCGTTTGATTAGAGTGGTAAGATTATGCATGTTGTTGGTCGCCATCGTGGCAGGTTCGGGAGTAGCAGCTCCAGGTCAGGAAAGTCGCCGACTTCGTGGGAGAGAACGAGGGAGGTGATGTCGAGTTCTGGGGGCACGCAGAGACACAAATAGCAGAGTGTGTTTTTGATAGGCAGCTAGTCTCGAATCGATCAAGGCTATAGCATATGGATATGTCAGCGCTCGATGATGAGATCGAAATCGCAGGCGACGGAGAAGAGAGAGTTCGAGACAAACGCCGCGTAATTGCGGAGGATCTCTCAGGCAGCAGATATAACAACAACAACTAGACAGCCCGATGGGCAGGTGTTTGTCTGTGAATAAACTGATTAATTATCCAACCAAGCAGCTATAAAAAGAAGCTGAAGAGTGAGGGAATCGCGAAGCCACTTGAAGTACGATTATGATGGTGCCTGTGTCAGATGGGAAGGAGGATTGGCGCATAAAAGAAAAGTCGAGGCCGTAACACAGACAATGGAGCCACCCCGTTCCATGCTGCAGTGCGTGCAGCAGCTGTGTCTTCACCAGCAACGGGACGGGGCACCCCTGAACCTTGGAAGCTTCAGCAGATTGACCCGCTGGCCAATGGCCGCTGACCTGCATCCGGGCCCCGTAATTTCGGGTACGACAGGGCCCCACCAGAGCTATACCGCCGCTGAGGTACCTCAAGCTTAGCCTAACCTTTGTATTCTACGGGGCCTCAATAGGTAAGGTCAGGGTGAGGCTTCGGGCCTGGCAAGGCTGCAGGTGCATGAGAGCGGTATAGTGGCGCCCTGTTAGAACGAAAAAGGGAGGAACAGAGTCATTCGAATCTGATAGATCTTTGATAGACTGCCTTAACAACTCGTAGCTTGACACGTAACTGCTCGTTTGACAATAATACAGTGCCTGATTGCCCCCAAATGATAAACACTGCTGCTGCTTTTTCCCAGCGTCCACAAACACACACATACACACTCTTTATGTGAGCTCTCACGTGCTGGCACTTACCATCGCACCAACTCGAACTCGGCCTCCCAGGTGTTTGCTTCACGACACAGTAAGCGGGCCCCCTTCGCAGATGACACAGATGCTCTGTATGTCATTGGGGACGCCGAACAAGTGAAGCTGGTGTCGATCAGTCACTCAGCCGCCATGGACCAAACGACGTCCAAAGCGTCCTCGGACGACGACGACAAGTCACTCGAGCGCCAGGGCATCGATTTTGTGACGTTGGGCATGTTCATCATAGGTGAGACCTTTCTCATAATCGCGGGTTTTTTCTTCATCGCCTACACTCGGGGTCTCAGTATATCTCATCCTAAAAGACGTATCCGGTTTTCTCTCTTTGTGTCTAACTTTCTGGATTTAAAACGGCCCAGAGCGTCTCATTTTACCCCACCATGATGATCTCCCTCGTTGCAAGTTGAGCACCAGTCATAGACATACTAACACGAAATAAGATGAGATCGAGTATTTACCACCCAAGCCTGCTGTCCGGGATATTCTGGGCGGTGCTGGCTCCTATTCCGCCCTGGGAGCCCGGCTGCTCTCCCCGCCTCCGCTGTCGTCAACCGTGGGCTGGATCATAGATAAGGGCTCAGACTTCCCGGAGTCGATTACCACCCTCGTGGAGAGCTGGGAAACAACAGCCATATTCCGTGAGGATCCTGCCCGGCTGACTACGCGTGGCTGGAACGGCTACGTCGACGAGTCCGAGCGCCGCGCCTTCAAGTACACAACGCCTAAGAAGCGACTCACGGGCGCGGACCTCACGCCGGAGCTGCTGAACTCGCGCGCCTTCCATATGGTGTGCAGCCCCGCGCGGTGCCGGGAGCTCGTCACCGAGATCGTCACCCGCCGCAAGGCCGAGATCGACCCGGACCAGTACACCGGCAAGCCCGTCATCATCTGGGAGCCGGTGCCGGACCTGTGCACGCCCGAGGAGCTGCTCAACCTCACCAACTGCCTGCCGATCGTCGACATCTGCTCGCCCAACCACGCCGAGCTGGCCGGCTTCATGGGCGACACGGGGCTGGACCCGGAGACCGGCGAGATCTCCACGTCGGCCGTCGAGCGCAGCTGCGAGCAGCTGCTCGGCTCGATGCCGCTGCAGAGCTTCACGCTCGTGGTCCGCGCCGGGGAGAAGGGCTGCTACGTGGCGCGCAACGGCGGCCGCAAGAGGACGACCGGGGCCAAGAGCGGCACGAAGCGGCGCAAGAAGGACTACACTCGCGGTGGGCTGCAGCCGGATACGGACATGGAGGCGCTGTTCGCGGGCCTGCTGCAGGACGAAGGGGGCTCGATCGCACGCGAGGAGATTGAGGTGGACCCGGGCATCGAGCGGTGGATTCCGGCGGTGCACACTGACAAAGGCAAGGTTGTCGATCCGACGGGCGGCGGTAATACGTTCCTCGGCGGCTTGGCTGTCGGTCTGGCGAGAGGAAAGGGGGTTGAGGAGGCTGCGACATGGGGCAGCGTCGCGGCTAGCTTTGCCATTGAGCAGGTTGGTGTCCCTGAGATAGGGAAGGATGAGGAAGGCAACGAGACCTGGAATGGCGTTCGAGTAGACGACAGGCTGAGAGACTTTCACGACCGGATCGGCTGGATTCCCACTTAATATGAGAGACACGAGGTTTAGACAGAAACAGATCCTGAGTCCCAGGATGGCTCATGTTATGTGCAGACAGGAGGGCACATCGCACATCAATTTTTCTTGTTTGCAGTTAGGTTTTACTGGAACATGAGGGGTAATACTTGGACGGCATCTCAAAAGCAGGCAAGGCTTCTTAATAGACATTCCTATTCATTACAGCTCAAGGTTCATCAGCCCATTACACGTTGTCCTAAATCATGCTGTACGTCCGTTCTAGTCCTGAACCTTAACTCCTGACCGCCCCTGCCAATGTGCAACAACATTACAAGCTCAAATCTTGTAGACAGATTCTCCATCAGTGTACCTAGAGAGGAAAGGTCAGTTCGAGTTGCATATAGTTGTGAGAAAGTAGGTCCTTACATTATCTGGTTCAGCTCGGTCATCTTTGTGAGAGCCTTGATGGCCTCTTCCTTGCTGAAGGCACCACCGCTTCGGGATCCAAGCTTCCTGTTGACAGCGGCGATGAGCTCGTCAACATCAGCAGCGTCATCCTCAAAGAGATCAGTGTTCTGGAGCGGACCAAGGGTGGTCCTGAATGCGTTTAGGCGCGCGTCACTGATGGGAACATCCAGGCTCAGGCCAGCAGCGCCGCTAGCGAGGTCTGCGTCGTCCTGGGTGTCTTCCTGAGTTTGTGACTCTAGCTGAGACGCTGGTACTGATGACGCAAATGATAGCTGACTCGACTGCCCATTTGTGCCTGCACCAGCGCTTCGGCCCGAGCGCCGAGGGGTGGCGTTGTAGATATCTTCTTCTTCCTCTTCCTCCTCAGCTTCGGGTGAAGCCCTCGAGCTTCCTCCTGCGGCACCATTTGCGCCATTACGACGGCCATTGGCTCCTCTCGCTCGTGCAATTGGGCGAGATGATCGAGCGGTTCCATTCCGTGCTCGGCTGCCGCGGTAGTTGTCATCGTCATCATCCTCTGAGCTGGAGCTTTCCTCTTCGGACGAATCGGACTCCAGCGGGCGTGTCTTTCTCCTCTTCTTGCGAGACTCATCTTCGACAATCTCCTTGAACAAGGCGAATCGAAGAATGCCCTCTGCAGCAACGGCATCTCTCTCTTCCACTCTGTTGGAGAGTCTAGACTTCGCATGTGCTGTTGCAAGACGGATAAGGGTTTCAAGCGTACGGACGGTCATAGGAGATGTCCTGCGCTGGTTACCCTCCATCTCGTCATTTCTCAGGCCAACGTAGATATCTGCAATACGATCGGAAGCCTCTTGAGTGAGGATTGGTCTTATTCTTGTCTTGGCGTACTGGATATACTTCTTCATGAAGGCAATGCTCAAGACCTCGTGCTTCTTGTTGGCTCCACGGCCAGAGGTCGTAGTGACGCCTGAGTGTAGCATGGCATCGAATTTCTCGAACACTTCGGTCGGCTTCTGGGAGTCACCCTGGGCTTGCTGTCCAACACTGAGAGATTGTTGCGCATTCTCACGGACCGGAGCACCCTCCTCCGTACCCGGCCGGCGATACCTGTGCATTCGGAGAACGTGCTCCGAGACTTGACGATCCCGAGTGTCCTCGATGTCGTCTGTAACAACGAACAGTAAATCGAAACGCGACAGAAGAGAATCCGGCAGAGCAATGTTCTTGTGAGGATCCTTATGAGGATCGTACTGCCCAAAGATTGGATTGGCAGCGGCGACAACGCTGCAACGGGCATTCAACGACGTGTGAATACCAGCCTTGGCAATGGTAACAGTCTGTTGCTCCATAACTTCGTGGATCGCAACTCTGTCAATATCGGACATCTTGTCGAACTCGTCAATACACACCACGCCCCTGTCAGCCATAACCATGGCACCAGCTTCAAGTCTTCTCTCTCCCGTCTCCTTGTCAGAGGTGACGGCAGCAGTCAGACCGACACCAGATGACCCACGGCCAGTAGTGGCAATTGCTAGGGGAGCAGTGTTGAGGACAAAGCGCAAGAGCTGGGATTTGGCGGTAGATGGGTCACCGACCATTAGAATGTTGATGTCACCACGAAGATGGGTACCGTTCTCCAAATTCTTCTCCATACCACCAAGAAGCATTAGAAGAATTGCTTTCTTGATGTAGTCATGTCCGTAGATACTCGGGGCTAAGGATTGTGAGAGAAGTTCGAACAGGTTCTTCTTCTTCGCAACCTTGTTGATGTTTCGAAGATCGGTGTCTGTGATAGTGGCAGTTGCCACACCGCCTCCGGCCTTTGATGAAAGCAGAACAATATTGTTGGCCAGGATCACTGTCTTGAACAGCGCGCTGTTGTGATTGGTATTACGATTACCGAGCGTCTTGTACATGCCAACGAGCTGAATACGATCACCTGGTTTGACCTTGTCTACGAGGTCGTCGTCCAGGATCACGTCAACACCACGAGGTAGCTGGCCAGCAGGTGCCCTCTCCGGCATTTCTTGGATCGAGATAGTCTGGTGATCTCTATAAGTAGACCATCCGTACTCGGTTGTGAGCGGGTTGCCTTGGTCATCTTCTGTCGGATAAACACTGGAGGTGGTGACGCCAGTCGTCATCGTCGCGTCACGGTACTCTCTGAAGTGGAACTTGTTCTCCTTCTCATTGTAGTGTACGCTCTTGACCACCTTCGGCCGAATTAGGGAGCATCTCGTCACAATACCCTCGATCGAGACCATGTGGTTGAGATGCTGAGAGGACAAGGTTCTCGGGTTGCAGGAGTGCAGACCAAAGCTGCCAGCCCAGGCACAGTAGTACATGACATCCTCAGCCGTCTGATCAGGGTGAGCCTGTGGGATAGTCTTGACAATCTCCTTGAGAGCATGGTTGAAAGCGAGAGAATAGTCGAACGGCTCGAGGAGGAGACCTTCTGCAATCTCGGCATCGTGTTCGCGAACGTGATCGATGTTGACGACTAAACGGCGCTGATTCTTCTGGAGCATCAATATGATGTCCGATCTGTAGCTTCGCACATTTTGATCATCTGTGTGCGACGGTTAGCATGAGAAGATGAAAGGCAGCCGAGCAATACTGACGAGGATCAAGGAACTGCTCTGCCCTCTGCACACGCATGCGCGTGGCCTCATCACGGAGCATGAAAGAATCCATGATGCGTTCTGGTGGTCGGTTCAATGCTTGATTTCTGTCGACCTTCCGCAACTTTGCATGGAGGGAAAATGGAGATGGAGAAAGGGCTGGCAATTGAGGGCTGTAAAGTGGGATCGAGGAAGACGCGTTTTCGCGTCAGGAGTGGAAAGGCGCGTCAGGGGCGCGTTAAGTGGTTTTTAACCAATCACAGGACGCCTTTTCGGGCAAGGGCTTTAATTGTCTCCCAGCAACCGCGAACGAGCCACGGGATTGCCCCACAACCAGCAAGGAGGTAGATTCAACTCTTTTTCTTCCTCCCAGGGTAACAAACGTTAATTTTGAAGGGTGAAGATACTCAGTGTTGAGAGTCGTAATACTCATCAAGGTCTTGAAGGTTCTGTTCATTACCACAGGTCCAACAACTTCTCCCAAGGTAATAGTCTCTTGTTGTGCAGGTAATGATGCCCTTGCCGACCTAACATTCATTATCATGGCAGAGGAGTACATCTAAGATAAAGCAGTGATCATAAACATTGTGGACCATTTTCACCCTCATGTTCTGGATGCTCGCCTGCTGACCCTGGTCCTATCAAGAAGCTAAACTTTTTGGCATGAGACTATCCTTCACTTCTAACGATATAATTCGGTTGTAGAGATGTTACTCAATACCTAGGTAGACTTAGATCTTCTTTTACACTGCTCCAATCTTGTAAGTGAATTTTGCCGTCTTTGCAAAATACATCAGCCACTCCAAGACTCTATTGCTCTTCTACTATATCATATACCGACTTTCGATAACAACATGATGAGGTGCTATTGGAGTCAGCTATTGGATTGACCAGGGTCGTTTCGCTGGCAGTTGGTAGCCTCTTGTCACCGTTTCAGTTAACTTGTCTCACTGTAGATCTCTTTTACATATCAAGCGATCCTCAAAAGGAAAGTTCATATGCTTGGTTGACCATTCGCAATTCACTGCTGCAGCTGCAGGATCGTCGCATATCAATGAGGATGGTAGCCTGTTCAAACTCTATGCAATGCAGGTTACTTGGAGAATTACGCTATTGCTATTTTGTGAACGACGTGATATTGCCAAGGTCGGGTAGGCCGTCATGATTTGGGGTGTTAACATTTTAAATATCTCTCATGCACATTCCTTCTTTTTAAGCAGTTGGTATTGGCGGCTCATAAAGTCGGATCTTTTCAGCGTAGCATTCGCTTGAGTCGTACAACAGATGCACAACTCCTCTCCGGCAACCTCCACAAGACCTCACCTGGTCTAGGTGTTGTTTTCGGGCTTTTCCCGTAACAAATAGGAGGCAATCCCGGTCTTGATGAGCGTTAAAAAAATTATCAATTCCAAAAGAAGTGCGGGTTTTCGAGCACCTTGCATTTTTTGCCACTTTCTGGGCTCCAATCAGCTGCTTGGCTGAGCCCTTGGGTTTCTGCGTCTCATCGTACCTATCAATTGGTAAATAGTTTTGAAAGGACAGGCCCTCAGCTTCGAAGAAATGTTGCTTTTACCTTGTTAGATTGCATCATAATATCTGCAGTAGTACTGTAGAATGGGTAAAACAAGAACAACGTCAATATTGTTTAGTCTGTGAAAACAAGGTATTAAAGTGCTTACAAAGTCTAGAGTCGATAAACAAAGCTACATTATGAACCTGAATCAAAGTTCCGGTCAAGGTACAGTCTCAAGCTGTCGAGAATTTCGCATCGAGCTGCAGGACCGGAGAGGTCCGAGAACGCTAGGACTGTGGCTGAGACTGCATGTCGATGATCAATAAGACCACCTGTTGGTCTTTCAAGCCAACAGCATGCAACACGTCCAAAAGAGGCATGCCAGGACGAAACCGTCATCCGAGGCCCTTCGATAGGCGCGTTATGCGAGAGGATCTAGGTAGGTTCATCCATACTTTCAGCTCCGTGAGACTGAATTACGGTATGGCCGTTCACCACCCCAAGCCGCCTAATGCCGTCCATGACTCGCCTTGCTGCAATAAGCTGTAACCACCGAAGCAGAGACAGGTAAGCTAATGGCTATCTTTTGTCACGGGACACTTTCGATTCTCGCTGCAATATTCCGAAGCGGAAGTGCCCTAGAGGTTGGAAGAAATGACACGGCACGGCCCGTTCTCGGTGAGCACTACGGAAAAGGTGAGTATTGAACATGTCATTTCTCCTCATTATGAAGCCGAAGGCCCAAGACTGAATTTCTGGGTATCGAATAGACAGAATTCTCGTCAATAAAAGTTGAAGAGCGCAATGCAAGAGAAGGATAGGCACAATACATGATAACGGTTGAGGAGTAATTGTAAAAGGACACCAAGCATTTTAGTGTTTCGCGATGCCTGCATTGTTAGTCGTCGTGGGACAAGCTCGAAGTAAAGCATGACTCGTTTATCACGAATCGACCAGCCAAGAAGGAAGAGTATTCGAGATATGTGGCTTTCATGATTTCTTCTACTCGTCCACCCGCGCTCCGACTTTCTTTTCGAGAGACATTGCGTGGGCACCGCCGTTGTCGCTTCCAAAGTCAACAAGGTGAGCACGTACAGTGTGAGTCAGTTGGTCGTCTCAACCCAGCTCACAGTCTAAGCCTGTACAATGTCTTACAGCAGCTCTGTGTCTCCGTACGACTGTGATCAGGCAGGTGTTCTCTCTCATGCATACCGGGATATGTCTGTTGCACCGCGGAAATCCACGAGCAAGAAATCGCATGACAGGTTGCCGCTTAATACGAGAAGTGACAGTAAATCTCGCATCATATCCCGTCGAAAGCAGCGCGAGTCAATTCCCGGTCGGATTCGGAGTCGGTGAACCGCTCCTGACGGAATCTCCTGCAACTCATACGCCGACGTCGCTTGTCATAGGTAACTGAGCGAGAATGAAGTGACAGTTCTTTCGCAAGAAGCAAGTTGATTTCAGTCCAATAAGACTCGTCATATTTCTCCAGACAATTACGGTGGTTCGAGCCAGCTTCACTGCGAAGCCGAGAGACTGGTATTGGTAATCGTCTTCCGCTATGATTGATCAATGTTTTTCAGCAGACTCAGCAATCGTGGTTGCAGTCCTTTACAGCTCCAGGTTACCATACAATGTCCCAGAGAAGTGGTCCAACTAAGATCTAAACAGGCTAAGCTGTATGCCTGCAGCCTGCTGCTGGTGATTTCTGACAAGTGGACTCGGCATGGGAATCGAAGTGTCAGCCGAGTTCGGGAAGCCGAACATGCCTGCTATGCTCGCTTCCCCCGCACATTCCTTCAAAGCTGCCGAAAAGGAGGCTCAGGCATGGCTTCGGTTGCACAAAAGTCGCTGTAATCAGGGGGTTTTGATGGCGGGAGACCGCAGACAGTTGATCCCACGTGTCACAAACGAGCCATCACCAGAATTTATCGTCTAAGTTGTAGAATCATGATATCTTAACTCTTGCCTCGCTCCAATAGTAATGCGTTATTCACCGGAAACCAGTCCGCGCAATCTAAGAGCTCCCAAAAACCTCGGAAAGTATGGTTCGGATGCACAACCAACACAAGGTAGCATTGCTTGTGTTGCCTTTCTGGGCGACTAGCGAAAGGCGCAGAAGTCTGGCGGCGAATCAAGCATACACCCGAAGCTCCACAGAGCCGACTAAATCGGACCCGGGCCACTCGTCCGCTGTTAGTGTTATGGTAGGTCGACGAACGCCTGACGGTAACAGCCTATCCACACTCTGTCGGTACATTACCAATGATAACGTACCTCAAGCCGCTGGCGGCCATCCCCTATGTTCAATGACGGAAACGCTAAAGGAGCCGTTGTGGCAAGGGAGGATAGGTCGGCGTAGCCTGCCGTAGATATCGACGGTGCCGTACGATCGAGCTATAGAGCAGCCCCACGTAAGCCCAACTCAAGATGGATCCTACAAGTTAAGAAGCTCCAGGTATTAAAGATCGTTTAGGCTCCTCCGTGACCTTAGCTGTCCCTTGCACCCTTGTAGTTCAAGGCCATATACTCGTAATCCATAGAGATTATTCAACTTCGTGCGGTTTCAGTGATATTTTCCCTTGAAGTTCTTGCTAGCTGCACGAATCCCTGCGTTCTAAACCGTCCTTGATCGGAAGTAACGATATGGCGTGGAGCAATGCTGATAAGTTTGCCGATACGAACGGGATAGATAAGCAGAGCAGGTCTGCTTTGCTCCAACGACAACTGCACGCACAGTTTGACTCGGTTGAAGAAGGAGAAGGCAATTATCTCTTCCTGAAAAGTGGACGAAAAATATTTGATGGATCCGGCGGTGCAGCAGTTACTTGTCTAGGTCATGGAGACAAGAGAGTGATCCAGGCTATGACAAAGCAGATGAGTAAAGTAACTTATTGTGGCAGCGTCTTCTTCACCACTCAAGTGTGTGAGGATCTTGCTCGAGAACTTGTCAACTCGACGCAAGGACAGATGGCTCGAGCTTACATTGTGAATTCTGGTCGGTATCCCCAAATCGATATGATCAACCGAAACTGATCCTTCTCATCCAGGCTCCGAGGCAATGGAAGCGGCCATGAAGATAGCGAGACAATATTTCCTTGAAAAGGAGTCTCCCGAACCAGAGCGTATACACTTCATCGCGCGCAACCAATCCTTCCACGGCACCACGTTGGGGGCTCTGGCTGTGGGTGGCCACGTCTATCGAAGAGCCAAATTTGAACCGATGCTTAACCCGAACACCTCGAAAGTGTCGCCATGCTATTCATACCGTGGGAAAGTACAGGGAGAGACAGATGGCCAGTATGTCGACCGGTTGGCTGCTGAACTCGACCAGGAGTTCCAAAGAATCGGGCCGGAACGTGTCTGTGCCTTTGTAGCTGAGCCTGTGGTTGGAGCAGTACGCTTTCCCTGACCGCAATGGCTGGTATCCGTTATACTGAACGCTCTAGGCACTAGGATGCGTTCCAGCGGTGGCTGGCTATTTCGAGGCCATGCAAGCAGTCTGCCGGAAATATGGAGCATTATTAATTTTAGACGAGATCATGTCCGGCATGGGACGTACAGGAACCCTTCACGCTTGGGAACAGGAAGGGGTTGCCCCAGATATTGAGACTATCGGCAAGTGTCTTGGTGGAGGTTATCAGCCAGTGGCAGCTGTGCTTTTAAGCAACGGCGTGGTCGATGCCTTCGACAAAGGAACCGGGTGAGTATAGACTCAACTATTTCAGCTTGTCAGCATAAGACTGACGCCTTCCAGGGCCTTTGTACATGGACATACCTACCAGGGCCACCCTGTTGGCTGTGCCGCCGCCCTGGCAGTCCAACGAATTATACGTGAAGATGGGCTTCTCACCAATGTTCGTAATATGGGCACCCTCCTAGGTAGCCTGCTCCATAGCCGTCTCGATTCACATCCTAATGTGGGAGATATCCGTGGACGTGGGCTTTTTTGGGGAATTGAGTTCGTCGCTGATAAGACTCGAGCATTACCCTTTCCCGCACAGGATGGCCTTGCGATGAAAATCAGCGAAATGTCGTTGACAAAGGGCTATGAGATGACGGTATACCCTGGTGCAGGCACATACGATGGGGTGAACGGAGATCACATCATCATTTCCCCTGCTTACATCGTAACGAAGGAAGATATCGAGTATATCGTCGACACAGTGTCTCGGCTCATCGAGGACTTCTTTCTTGTGCATCGCAACGAATAAGTGTTTCAGGTGACCAGGGCTGTATCCATTCGTTATCTTCCGGTGAAGCAACCTCACAGCGGACAGCTAGAGAACCACCAAAGGGTTAAGATTATGATGCCGACTAAAGCTGCTTTGCGTTTCCTCGCTTTACCGGTTAAAGAGTTGGTCACTACGGCTGTTCCAATGTATACACGAGCGTTTTAGGAAAATAGCCCTCCAACTATTACACATATCGGAGGAAAGGGAGAGATACATTGAGGTTGACAAGAGAAGACGTGAAAAGAGCTCAGTAATAAGCTCGCCGAATCCAGCGAGTCGAGGTCCAATCAAGGCCCGAATATCTTCTCCAGAACGCCGTACCACCCCAGAGGGGGAGAAACTCGGCCCGATACATTGTCACTGACAAGGCGATAGCCGGCATTTCCCCTGTCGGCTCCATAGTCGGCACGTGGTAAGGCTGATTTCCCTCCGTAGGAAGCAGGAGGACACGTCGGTTCATAAGGCGCAACATTGGATGCAGAGGCTTGATCGACAGACGGATGATGCACGTCTGCCTTGTTTTCTGTTTTGCTTCTTTTGACAAGCGCAGATCAACAGTCTACATCGGAACAGACGCTCCAAGTCTTCTCTTCAATCAGAGGGACCAGTACCAATACACAGAAACAACCCTCGCCTTTTTCTAGGCACATGACTCTGCGCTTGCTAGCATCGTCAAGACCTAAGGGGATGGCCGTAGCGGACTAAGTAGTCCCCCGTCTCATTGAGGATGCAAGGCCTCGGTGTCATCCTATAGGTCAGTCTGATTGCCGTATACCTTCTTTTCATTGGCACGGTATCCGCGTGTCGGGTTCCCTTTAGGGATAATGAATCAGGGAACCAGGCGATTGCTGGCCAATGACAAGGTGTGCAGATAGTAAGGCCCGTCAAGTGGTTGCATGGGCTATTCATATGGAGAACTGCCATCAATACTCTGTTACATCTCGAATAGCGATGTGATATTGTTGTTGTTCTTTCTACGTTTCGCATATTTGGCATGTATCAAAGAGCTCCGTAAACTGTAAATCATTACAGGGGATCCCTGACAACTGCCAGACCTTAACAGCCGTCGCCCCGGTTTTATTAGCGTCATCTCGCCTGTCATTATGGCTCCAGGAAGCAGCACCTTCAACTCCTCCACAACCTCCACCCTCTGGTCGCGGAGCAGACGACGTGACGATCGCATCACTTCTCCACCTCCACGATCATCGCGCACCATGGCTGTCGGCCTGAGCAATGGCCGGCATGCAGCCGAAGAGGAGGCGCGCGCCGAAGTCGATGTTCTCAACTCCCGGCTCGAGAAGACGACGCAATTGACCAAAAAGATCGAAGCATGTCTGGGCAGGTTAGAAGCCACAGGAAAGAGCGTGCGAGAAGTCGTCGGCCCACTGAATGGGGAGACGAAGAAATTGCAGATTCTGGGGCATAGTGAGTCTACCAAAGCGATCTTTCAGGCTCCCTACCCAAAATGCTGACGATCATCACGCAGACATCGATAATGTTATTGCAGCCATCGAGCGACTCCGCCAACCTGCCGATAGCAAGAACGACGAGGAACAAATCATTCGAATGGGCCCAGAGAAGGCGGGCTTATCTAACTACTTGGGGTCAATCAAGAGGCTCAATAAGGCACTGGCAGATATGAAAGCCTCCAATCTCCGAGCTACTCAGCAGACAGTTGCGGACCTTCAACGGCTTATCAAGTCTGGCAACACACAACTGGAGAATAGCTTCGACAAACTGCTCCGAGGCGAAACCCCGCGTTCTATCGAACCATTGCACTTCATTACAAAACAGAAGCCTTTCCCAGTGCTGGCACAAGATAAAATCGCCAGGCTGGGCTTAATGAACTCATATGTTGCTGGGACCTTTCGGGAAAGCGGAGGAGCGCCACAGGAGTCTCCTGTAGCAAAGATATACGCCGACATTCGTGGGCCGTACCTTCAAACAACACTTGTGAACTTGGCGGCTGCTAGTGTGAACACAGCGAAGAAGAAGAACCCGGATGCCATCTACCGGTCTGGGACGAATGGGATCAGCACATATGCTCAGTCAATGGAGGGACTATATCTTGCAGAATACGACAACATTTGTAGCATCTTTATGCGAGATGACTGGGGGCCAGTTTTCCAGGCAACTTGCCAAGCTTCGCTGGCCGAACTATCACGAACGTTACGAGAACTGAATTCTCATATCAAGGCGCACCTGAACACAGACTGCTACTTGGCTTACGAGGTGGTGGAAATTATATCTGGTCTGTCCAACAACCTGGAGACACGTACAGGAGAGTTAAAGATGTCTCTGGCTGCCAATCTCAAGCCGGTACGAGAAACCGCCAAGTCATCACTGGCTGAATTGTTGGATGACACAAAGAGGAGAGTAACCGCAATGGCAACACTACCTATGGATGGCGCTCCCGTTCCGATCGTGTCCGAGACCATGCAGAGGCTACAGACTATGGTGGACTTCCTACGGCCAATATCCAGCATCATGATATCCCTGGGGGATGGGGGATGGCGGTCGACTGCAGCAGCAAGAGGTGGAGGTGTCGGAGACGGCATCCCAAGCCTCGCATCGTTCGATATTGGTGCCGACGGCAAGGAGATTTTCGCGCACTACTGCACTGACACTATTGACGCCCTTCTGTCATCCTTGGAATCTAGGGCGCGCACCTTGTTCGGCAGACGGCCGGTCGCAGGAGTCTTCTTGGCCAACAGCATCACTATTGTCGAGCGCATGATCCGAGATTCCGACCTCGCACCGCTATTGGAGCAGAGAATGGGCATCGTCGACCAGTGGCGCAAGAAGGCAACCTCTCTGTACACAGATACATGCAAGGACGTATCCATGCACTTGTTCGACGTGATCCACACCAACCGCACGCAACGGCCCACCTCGGGACAGGGGGCCGTAGACTCGGCTTCAATTCTGAAGGGCCTGTCGTCTAAGGACAAGGAGAACATCAAAGGCAAGTTCCAGGCGTTCAACGCCAGCTTCGATGACATGGTCTCGAAGCACAAGTCGTTCAGCATGGAGCGAGAGGTCCGCCAGATGTTTGCAAAGGACATCCAGCAGATGCTCGAGCCACTTTACAATAGGTTCTGGGACCGCTACCACGAAGTGGACAAAGGCAAAGGCAAATATGTCAAATATGACAAGTCGTCGATCGCCGCCGTCTTCCTCAGCCTGTATTAATCACGAAGAGGAGGTCAGGCCATTTACACGTCACGACATGATCATAGACATGCTGTCTTGCTTATCTAGCTGCACGTGGATATTCTTGCTTATTGATGTTGACACCTATGAGAAGAGGGGGCTCAAATATGTATAGACACGAAGCTGCATTGCGTGGGGGAGGGGTTGCGTTCGGGAATAGCAACCTCCTTATTTTTTTCTTTGTTCGGAGTTCGTAGGGGTTCTGTACTGTACTGTATTGTACCTGATCTTCAGTAGCAGAGTAGCTCATTCGCAGCTACCCTGCTGCAGGAGTTCAATGGTAATTGTTGGGGAGAAGATACCTGTTTGGGGTTGAGGCGTTTCGGGCTGGGCTCAATGTGGTAATGCTGGCTGCGACCCCCGACGAACCTGTCGATGATGAGATATGATAGATAGGACAGCCTTGGCTTAAAGAGGACATGACCCCAGCTGCAAGCAGCACGGTAATCATTCGAAAATCCATGATACGGTGAATCAGCTGCGCTGCCGCTGTCGCATCGCAGCGCCCAATGTGACTCTGGCCGCAAGCTAGGGTAGGTCTACTGCATTGAGACTCTTTCGGTGTCCATTGAGCTATCGAGACTATCTCTGAATAACTCCACAGACATGCTGATGTCTAAATAGTCGGTTCTCAGAAGAGTAACACGTATAGTAAAAGTACACGATTCTGCAGCCTTGCAAAAACTCATCTCATTTCCCACGTCTGCCTGCAACCGAACTCCGATCAGGATATGCGTCGTTGCGCTGTTGCTGCTGCTGCTGCTGCATAATCTAATACAAGGTGTCGTTACACGAAAGGAGCGGGCCACGTCAGGAATGGCCCGCCGCTTCTGCAACTCTCACCGAGCACACTCCGAGCCTTGTGAGGTGGCCCTGCCGTGCACTATACCCAGGCATGAACATACGGCAGCCTATATGTCTGTATGTAGACACCTACATACATGATGTACGTAAGGATATGCAGCACCCAGGCCAGGCCATGCCAGGCAGGCTCTGCGATGGAGTGGCGACACGAGAGCCAGCGCCAGCTGTACAGTACTTCGACGGTCGCTGACACCATTCTCGTAGTAGCCTGGATGCACGGCAAGACGAAAGAGTCGCTGGCGTAGCGGCGAGGAGGGAGGGAACCCGGTGAGTGCGTGTGCATGGAAAGAAACCTTCTTGTATGCAAACGAGTCAAAACGTTAAGAGTACAAGTGGCTTGCATCTTGTCATTCCCTCAGCTCACAACTCCGACACTTTCCAGCAGCCCACACCTTTCCCCAACAACAAGATCCTTGCTCTCCTCTCCTCTCTACTGCCGGTTGGATGCGGTGACCGCAGCAGTGCGTGAAGAACAACAAGGCACAATTTCCCAATTCTGTCCAATGACTCCGCCAGATGAGAGAAAAAATTCAAGTCAATTCCCTATCCCACCCATTCCCTGTCCTGCTGAATGACAAAGGAGAGCCCTTCCTAGTAACACCATTGGCGCCTTGAATCCCGCAATCCCTTTCCCATGTCACGCTGACGCTTGTCTCAAAAAGAAATAACTCCGTCGTCCATCAAAAGTACCCGTAGAAATCCATTGGAACGAAAAACCCCTCATGAGTGGGCGTTGCATAAGATACAGTGGTTGAAGGTAAGACACCCTAAGAGCCACAAACGTAAAACAAAAAAAGCCCAGAGCCAGTCCAGCGGGGCAAAAGAGGTGACGAAACTTTCTGTTGAAGAATGGATAGCGGCGTGCGTCTATGCCTGCAGCTCTGCATTGCAGGGTACATACAGGTCAGCAAGAGCCGATGGGGCCCTTACAAGTGACACCTCCGCGAGGCGTCAGCCTTGCATACATAGGTACTGCGGGGCACGCCGTGGCGCGGGAGAGAGAGCCGAAGAAGTGAAGCGGCGAGTCTAGTGGCTGGCCGGTGAAGAAGCAAGTAGAAAGAAGGAAGGAAAGGGTGGTGGCAGATGGGTAGATTCATGCACGGTCATGGTGATCGTCGCTGGGTTCGTTGAGGCGCAAGTTGTTGGTGGGAAACACAAGGGGAACGCGCGATGATGACTGCTTCAGGGCCCGAGGGCGAAAAGCCAATGAGTGCGGAGAGGAAGGGCCTCCTCGATCGGCTATCTCCAGCAAAAAGAAAGGTCGACCGGTCTGTAGAGATTCTCAACTGCAGGCTGCGCTTCTGTGATGCGGCTGGCTACAGCGAGTTGCAGAGACATGCCTCAAGGACGGACGCCTCGGGCAATCCCTATGCAGCCGGCTGGAAGCAGCGGCGAGGTGCTCAAGACGGACACCGGGGGCAGTGGGAATAGGTAGTCGGGCAGTAGTCGTGAGTACCGAAGTCAATTGCCCTGCAGCAGGATGGGCAGCAGTGATTGACGAGCGGTTGAGCTTCCTGGACGGCCATTGTGTATGATATGGAAGAGCAAGCTCTTGTAAGTGGAGCTGTATGTGTGCTTAGACTGGTGGTAGCAAAGTATGGAAGGCGGCGAGTTGCTGGGCCGTGTCTCAGAGACCGAAGATATTTGAGTTGTAAGCTTCAGAGACTCTGAATTAGGAGTTTTGAAGAACAAGATGTGTACACCAGAGGACTTGAAGTGGTAATGGGTTTTATTGATGACTGAAGACGAAGAAAGGCAAGAGTAAAGAGGAGGGGAGCCAGGTAATCTTATAGTTGCGCAGTTATGAGGCAGGGCAGAGGTGGTGTCGTTACTGACGATCTCTGGCAACAACCGTGGGGAGAGAGGAGTTTAAATGTCTAGCTCCGAAACGGGAAATAAGTACAGTACCTACACGATGACGGCCGGCCGGCTCTACTTGGGAGGAAATGGTAACCCAAAGTATCTATCCACTTGGAAGAGAAGGATGGCTAGCTAAGGTTCCGTCTGTCACTACTAGGTAGACTAATAAGTGGCAGGCCGGGATTGACCGTTGGGCACTGAGGAACCTGAAGTTACAAAGAGATCGCGCATTGCCCCTAAAGTAGCTTACTCCTGCTGCACAACACACTACCTGGCATGGCCCCAAATATTTTCTTGGGAATAAAAAGAAATAAAAAAAAAGGGTAAGTAAATAAGGTTAGCTGGGCTATCAAAGGCGAGGAATAGGGACAAGGCAACCGGACATGGGGGCTCTGACGGTCTGATAGGTTCGCCGCGGCGGTGTGGCATGAAAGGGGGTCACGAGCGACGGCAGACTGAGGAGGCCCGCCGCCGTTTCTTTCATCGACACAGCCGACAAGGGGAAGAAGGCAACCCTCCAAATCCTCTCATCCCACATCTTATCCGTTGGGACGGTCACAGATGACTGAGATCCAACGTGTCAAGTCTCCAGTCCGCCCGTCAAACCCACCCATCCGGCCCCGCTCAGAGCTGGACTGGAGTGGACTCGAAGGGATGGGCCGAGTACAACCCATTAGGAGAGCCACACCTCACAGCAAATAGCAAGATCAACACGGAAGAGCAAGTTTAGGAGGTAGGTTGCGGATGGGGGTACGGTACCTATCGCTTGTTGCCTCTCCGGATGTTTCATATCTCTCAGAGCACGCAGTCCGATGCAGTGAGGCTGATGAGTCCTCCGGCTGGACGGAAATGGTGGTGTTATTCTTGGAGGGCTTGGGGGGATGTTCTGCAGGACATGCCACAGCAGCAGCAGGCACAGCCTGCATGCATGCAGTCACTAACTCAGTATCTGTACGAAGTGCAGGTCTGATGCCAGATTACTCGGAGACCCGTTTGTGACCGTTGTTCATTCTCGTAAGAGGCCAGGAATCAGACACGGACGGACAGATTGGAAGCCTACCAGCCGCTGCACGCGGGGGGCACCTGGCGCAGCACGAGGACGCTGACGAATTCCTTTGGCTCACTGCCGAAGCACGTCCAGAAGATCGTCTCATAGAGGACCACGAGCATGTGTCGAGGTCCTAGATGCACACACTCCTACGGCGTTGGGCGCAGGTTTACTGGCTGGAGACAAGAGATGGCGCAATGATTTTGGGTAACCAATAAAAGCCAGCCGCCCTTGAGATTGGCACGTATCACGCCTATCAAGCTGCTTGATATTACACAGCTCTCTTTACCGCCGGGTCATTGGCACTCCGGATAACCAGTTATTGGAGTTTCTGGCTTCAATGCCTATCCCCAAGAGCGGCGCTGGCTAGTTCTGGTTTCCTCCCTACCGCAACATGCCTGCTCCTATGATGGAGTCCCTGTGACCGACACGTGGGAGTGGAACGATTTCTGCATTTCTGAGGGATTAGGTTCGCCGGGCCTGCACGATGATGGCAGTCATCTTACTTTCGAAGTTTCCACACGGCGAACATAAATTGTTCCTAGTCTCTTAGGCTCTTGGCTCGGTTCCGTCGGCATTACGAAAGAGGAGTCAGAGAGGAGTCGAGTCTAATTATCACCACGTAACTGGCGGTTACCGCTTCGAGTCTTGAAGATTTAACTTTGAATAGGTCTACGCCAGCTCTTGACCCCTCCTCTTTACCAGGCGCCCAGTCTAAGTTCGGAGCCCTTTTACCGTTGTTGAAATCGCTCACCGTATCCGTGTCTTCGTGAATGCCGAGCTCCTGTCTGACCATGCTCTTCTCTTCACTTTCCGTGAGAGTTGTGATGCACCTTGAAATCTGCCTGCTTTGAGGGGATGGTTGCACAACCTGTGCAGAGCTCAGGGACGGGATGTCATATCATTGACACTGCGCCTCAGGGAATCTCTAACCAGGGGGAAACACGTAATTTGCTCTGCCGATCGTGTCGTTCGATGGCTGTTTCTATGAGCGTAGGCCTTGTTCTGAACAATCGCAACGTCCAGTCAGAGTCCATCAATGAGAGTCAGCCAGGCACAGATCTTCACGTTCTTGAAACATGAAGAACCGCCGGTCAGCTCGGCCGACTTCGGATACCTGACCAAGCAGAAGCGTACCTTGGTGGGCTGTATCAAGTCTTGTGTGACACTCTCAGCGATCGTAGACCGAGTGGTCATCGCATCCTCC